ACGAGAAAGACGAGGAGGAGGATGAGGAAGAAGCGGATGATGATGACGATGAGGATGGGGAGGATGATGAGGACGAGGATGAGGACGAGGAGTAGGAGGATGACGAGGAAGATGAGAAGGAGGAGGAGGAGGCGGAGGCGGTGGAGGAATAGTACGTTGCCGAGGAGGAGGAGGAGACAGGAGGAGAGGTGAGGAATGAGGCGGAGAGGAGGTGGGGAGGTAGGAGGATGAGGGAAGAGGAGGATGCGATGAAGCTGCGGTCTCGGAGGAGGGACGAGGACGAGGATGAGGACGAGGAGGAGGAGGATGAGGAGGATGAGATCGGGAGTGAGGGGGAGGAGGAGGAGGAGGACGATGATGAGGAGGAGGAGTAGGAGGAAGAGGACGAGGAGGAGGAGAACGAGGAGGAGGCCGAAGCGGAGGCGGAGGTCGATGTGGAGGCGGAGACCGATGCGGGGGCGGATGAGGAGGAAGAGGAGGAGGATGAGGAACAAGAGGCGGAGGAGGCGGAGGAGGAGGAGAAGGGGGAGGAGGCGGCGGAGGAGGAGGAGGAGGCGGAGGCGAAGGAGGAGGAGGAGGAGGAAGAGGAAGAGGAGGAGGAGGAGAAGGGAAGAGGAGGAGGAGGAGGATCGGAAGAGGAGGGGAACAGAAAGAAGGAGGAGGAGGCAGGAGAGGAGGAGGAGGAGGAGGGAGGAGGAGGAGGAGGAGGAGGAGGAGGGATTATGTTTTGGATGGCACGGCACTAGACCCGCCATGTCGGGCCTGGCACAGATGCCCCTGCACGAAGTCCGAGCCCGTGAATTCACATTTTTTTTTTTTTTTTAGTCTTATTTGTTTTTTTTTTCTGTGTTCTTTTTTTTTAGTATTTATGTTTTCATCCATCCAGTTTCGCAGCCGCTCGTCTGCCCTTCGGGCACGGTGGGGGCCCACTCCCAGGTGCCAGGGACACGGGCACACTGGGGTTTACGACGGGCGGGCGAGCGGCGGCGGCGGCGGCGAGGGACTCAGAAGGCGGAGACCTAGACTCGCCGCTGGCAGACGACGGGTACATCTCCTCATCGTCGTGGAATAACTTCACTTCACTGTACTCGCCAGCGGGCTGTACCAATGCCGCCGAGGATGAACTTGCTGCAACTATGTGTGGTTGCCCAGTCTGCTGCAATACGGACTCGGCCTCTCCGAAACATTCTTCACGGTCGTGCTGCACATCAGGGTCGTCATAATCCATCACCTGTATCTGCCCTGCGTCCAGGCCAGGTACTGTGTCAACTACACCTGCTGGCTGTACTGGCGACGCAACTTGCTCCACTCGAGAAACTCCACCCCGTGCTTGAGCGACTCCATGTCCTGCAGGCCTTCTCATAACCTGACGTCGTGTACGTGGAGGAGGTGGCTCAGCAATTGGCGGTGGTGGTGGCCGAATATGTTGCTGCGGTACATGTTGAGCAAGAGGTTCCTGATCGTGCATCTGCCTGACTAGCCTGGCTTGTTCTGCTTCCAGGGCCGCCTTCGGCGGGCCTTTATAGCCCGGATATCCGTAAGGGCTTCGCCCCCTGCCGCCGGCCCCTCTCTCGGAGAATGGGCCATGGAAGAGCTAAGTCATGAGGCCTTGGCGCTGTCGTGAAGCAGTATCGAAACTTCATGCGAAGCCGATTCGCAATCAGCAAAACCAACTGATCACAAGAGAGGTTACCACACCTGGCGATTGGTAAGACGTGTATGGTTTACGGGCTTGGTTACCACACCTTGCGATTAAAGGGCCGAGGGAGTTCTCGCAGTTTGGTTTACCACGCCTTGCGATGGATGTGCGTGAGGGGTGGCATCGAATTTCAGAAATGTGGCAAATCCCATGTGTTTTTGGACCCTGACCCCGCGGATCTGCGTGAGGGGTGGCACCGAATTTCAGAAATGTGGCAAATCCCCTGTGTTTTTGGACCCTGACCCCGCGGATCTGCGTGAGGGGTGGCACCGAATTTCAGAAATGTGGCAAATCCCATGTGTTTTTGGACCCTGACCCCGCGGATCTGCGTGAGGGGTGGCACCGAATTTCAGAAATGTGGCAAATCCCATGTGTTTTTGGACCCTGACCCCGCGGATCTGCGTGAGGGGTGGCACCGAATTTCAGAAATGTGGCAAATCCCATGTGTTTTTGGACCCTGACCCCGCGGATCTGCGTGAGGGGTGGCACCGAATTTCAGAAATGTGGCAAATCCCATGTGTTTTTGGACCCTGACCCCGCGGATCTGCGTGAGGGGTGGCACCGAATTTCAGAAATGTGGCAAATCCCATGTGTTTTTGGACCCTGACCCAGCGGATCTGCGTGAGGGTGGCACAGAATTTTAGAAATGTGGCAAATCCGTTGTGTTTTTGGACCCTGACCCCGCGGATCTGCGTGAGGGGTGGCACCGAATTTCAGAAATGTAGCAAATCCCCTGTGTTTTTGGACCCTGACCCCGCGGATCTGCGTGAGGGGTGTCGATTTCGAGCCCCCCCAGCAATTCAGACAACGCGCCCAGGAGGTGCTAAAAATCTGGTTTGGGCCTCCCCCCTCCTCGCGCGGTCAATCAACTAGTTACAGTAACCAGCAAGAAGCAGAACTGTAACACTGGAAACTACAAGCTACAACTGGTACTGGAAACTGCGAACCCGCGCCTCGCAGCCTGGTGGCCCCACAAGGGGGCCGGCGGATCTTCCATCACGCATGCGGCTGAATGCGTCCTGGCCGTTCGTGGTGGTGACCTCCTCGCACTTCTCTCTCAAACCCTTGCCGATCGTAGTGCCATACG